ACTGGATTTAATGAAACTAATAGTGTAAAAACGTGTGTGTGTATGTGTGTGTGTGTGTGTTGTATAAAGTGTGGGAGAGAGTATTTAATACCTAAGCCCTGGAAATGGCTGTTCTAGGTTTGGTTGATTTTACTAAAAGTCTTGTGCACAAGCGAAGTGCCCTCTGTTAAGGCTTGGTTAATACTCGTATATTTTTATAAGATTGAAATTGCATCCCCATCTTAAAATCATTTTCATGTCAGTGTGCTAGAACTGAGTCATAACATTCTTAGGCACAGATGGGAAAAATAATTGACTCCTTGAAAACGTGTGTGGTGAGGGGAATATAGATACACAAAAGCATGTAATGTACTTAGAAGCCAAGCAGAGATCAAGGAGTCAGTGTTCATCTCCCAAGATTTCTAAATTGTCAAGATTTACATGGCATCGTGGTGGAACTAGTGCTTAGAGCTTTTGATATGTAAAAACTATTTGCTATGAACTGATGAAATGCTTCAGAGGATTGTGTTCTTAAATTTTGAGGTTCTGTTTTTTTAACTGCCTCAGATTATATTTAGTTTAAGTTTCTTTGCTTTATCTCATTTAAGTTTAAAAACTTCAGGTCTCATATTTATTTTTACTTGCCCTACTAATTATTTACAAGACACTTTTTGTTGACTTTTACAAATGTGTGGTATATTAAATGTTTTTAAAGCTTTTGTTGTGAAGTACATAAATTTTGATTTGCTCTACTGATACTTTTTTTAATTATACCTTTTCCATGTCAGTGCACAACACTTACCCAGTCATTTGTATCCCTTCTTTCAATCCAATAAACATAATGAACAAGTTATTATTGGTGTATTACATCTCCCTAGTATCCATTCTGTACATCTACCATGAAGAACTGGTGTGCTGGGCCTGACTTCCATGTATTTGTCCATGGTTTATGGAATGAAATCCCAAGAAGCAATGCCTAACCTGCTTGGATGTCTACAAGGCCATTGAGCAAGTGTGGATAAGTTTAGCAAAATTTTAGGAGTGTTGCCCCTTAAAAGGAGAAGATAGTTGCCCTTTTTTGTTCCAAGATATTACTGCATCCCACTTGTATATTTAGGCACTGGATATGTTGACTAGTAGAGAAAATGTAGTTCCAATTTGGAAATCTTTCATCAATAGAATTTGTACTTTTCTAAAGATTTCCTTAGAGGGTGTTAGCAGTTCTTCAAAAACTCATTTGAGGGTTGGGAAGGTGGCTCAGTGGTAGAGCGCTTGCCTTGCATGCCTGAGACCCTGGGTTCGATTCCTCAGCACCACATAAGCAAAAAGAAAAAAGCCGGAAGTGGCGCTGTGGCTCGAGTGGTAGAGCACTAGCCTTGAGCCTTGAGCTGAGGGACAGCGCCCAGACCCAGAGTTTGGGCCCCACGACCGGACCCCCCCCCCCAAAAAAAAAACAAACTCCCATTTGAGGCTGGGAAGGTGGCTCAGTGGTAGAGTGTTTGCCTTGCATGCCTGACGCCCTGGGTTCGATTCCTTAGCGCCACATATACAGAAAAGGCTGGAAGTGGCGCTGTGGCTCAAGTGGTAGAGAGCCTTGAGCTAAGAGCTAAGGGACAGCGCCCAGGCCCAGAGTTCAAAAAAAAAAATTGAATTCAATAAGTTCTTATAATACGCTTGTAAGAAAAAAGGAAAAGAAACATTTTCCCCATCTGAATTATTACAGCAGGAAGTTCAAATGTAAACGGTGGAAGGCATCAAATGAAATAGGGGCACCAGGTTATCTTAATGCGCCTTGAGCAGCCTCTTCTTCGTACTACTGACTGGAGGTTTACAGCTTCCTCTGGCCACTACCCAAGAAATCTTTATAGATCTTGCTTCTAAGATAGCAGCTATTGGAAGGTTGACTAAGTTCCATCCAGCATCACTCTGGGGTCTGGGGTCTGCATCTATCTGATTTGAATAGGGTTACAAGTTCACCTCTGGTAACAGTACATGCTTGGAATGTGCAGGATGTGGGTTCAATCCATAGTGATAGAAATAAAATTTTAATTTCCAAGATCAGATGAGATTGAGCACATTCAGGATGATATGGCCATAGACGGAAATAAACATTTTAAAATCAAGCTCAATGCTGGTGGCTGCCTGTGATTACAGGAGGCTAAGATCTGAGGATCATGAATGGTTCAAAGCCATTCTAGGTAGGAAAGTGTAAGACTTAACCTTCCATTAACCAGTAGAAAGCTGGAGTGCAGCTGTGGCCCAAGAGGTACAGCATTAGCCTTGAGTTAAAGAGCAAATGGACATCACACAAGGCCTAACTTCAATGGCACAAAACACAGAACTTAAGCAAATGGAGCCACGTGATGGTGGCTCACACCTGTGCTCCTACTCATGAGGTTGAGATCTGAGGATTATGGTTCAAAGCCAACCCAGCCAGTTAGTTTCATGAGACATCTCCAGTAAACTCAGAAAATGCTGTGGCTCAAAGTGGTAGAGTATTACCCTTGAGTGAGAAACATGGACAGTGCCCAGGTCCTAAGTTCAGTGAGCCTCACAACTGACCAAATAAATCTATGTGTTGACTGAATAAGTTACCTTTTTCTAAGCTAAAAAACTGGTCTGATGATTTTATATCAACAACAAAAAGCCTCTGAAAGTTAAAAACTTACTTCTGATAGGGGGAAAAAAACCCTTCATTCTTAAGGAAAAAATATCTGAACTTTTCCCTAGTAAGTACATACACCTCAATGTTGGGGGAAGGGGACATTTATTTTACTTATACCCTTATGTGTAGGTGTAGGAATGTAAAGTCTCTTTTTTTAGTGAGATTTGTCAGACACCAAAGCCATTGAAGGAAAATTTTATTGAATAGTGAGAACCATAAATACACTACTGGGACCTGGAGCTAGTTTGCTGGGAAAACAAAATTTTTTTGTTTTTGGTCCATCGTGGGGTTTGAACTCTGGGCCTGGGTGATGAGACAGCTCTTCAGCTCAAAGCTAGGACTCTACCACTTGAGCCACAATACCACTTCCTATTTTCTGGTTGGTTAATTGGAGGTAAGAGTCTTCATGAACCTTCCTGTCTGAGTTGGTTTTGAACCGTGATCCTCAGATCTCAGCCTCCTGAGTAGCTAAGAGTTCAGGTGTGAGCAACCAGCGCCCAGCAGCAAATACTCTTAAGGGGATTGTTTTTAAGCCTTAGCCATGCAGGTGAAGTAACTTCATTGTGGCCTCTTGACCCTTTTTCTGGCAATACAAAACTACCCCCCAATAATTTCTGTGACTCCAAAGAGGCCAAGAGAGAGAACAAAGCTAGTTTTGGCTAACATTTTCTTTGTGTGGCCCGGGCACTACTTCCATACAAAATATGGTCTATTTGTATGTGCAGTTTAGCGTAATAGCTCCCTTCTACCTGAGGCTAGAGCCAATCCAGGCCCCAAAGGTCATTATCAGCATTTAACCTTTAGAGGGACCTCACACTTTGATTATCCACCTAATTCTACCCCTTTGGATGCTGTCAAAGTGATCCTTTGCCTAAATACCAAAGCCGAAGATAACACTAGGGACACAAATCAGGATTTGGAATGATTTTTGAAGTTCACCTTCACACTGGAAGAACCAGAAAACATAGCTGAAGAAATTCAGTGTTTTCATCAAGGGCAAGTTTACAAATACAGCTCTGAGGAACTGAGGGTTAGGTTCTGCTGTGCATATGAAACGGCTTGTATTGGTTCTCACAACTCACTGGTCAATGCAGAAGGGTTAATCTGAGCATTAAGCAGAGCATTACTAACACATTTTTTGGTTTTTGTCAGTTGTGGGGCCTGAACTCTGGGTCTGGGCACTGTCCCTCAGTTCTTCAGCTTAAGGATAGTGCTCTACCAATTGAGCCATAGCACCACTTCCAGCTTTTTCTGCTCATGTGGTGCTGAGGAATCGAACCCAGGGCCTCATGTGTGCAAGGCAAGCACTCTACCACCGAGCCACCTTTCTAGCCCCTTAATGTGCTTTTTTAATGGACCCTTAACTGAGCCACATCATGATTCCAATTGGTACCATCTTTAGCAAATCTCTAAACCTATTAAAACATCAGCTGAGTACTGGTGGCTCCCATCTGCAATCCTAGCTACTCACGAGACTGAGATCTGAGGATGATGGTTCCAAGCTACCCCAGGCAGCAAAGTCCCGGAGACTTTTAAAATTACAAAACTATGACCTGGCCAGAGCCAGGATAGTATTAGCCTTAGAGGTGATTGTGGACGTGTACTGGTTTTTAAATGAAAGCTCATGATAAAAATCTTGTTTTTAAATTTTATTTTCCTTTCTATAAGCAGGAATTACATTGTACCTGGGCAAATGGCTTGAAAAGATTCACAAAGACTACAATGAATTATATATATGTGTGTATGTGTATGTGGGGGGGGGTCATTTTTTTGTATAACCTTCTTGTGTTAAGACTTAGCTAACATTTCCATAAATCCTTAAACTACAGTAACACAAAGTTGCCGCAACATTGGCAAAAAGGGTAATTTTCTCTTCTTTTTGTTAGTCATGGGGCTTGAACTCTGGGCGTGGGCGCTGTCCCTGAGCCTTCAGTTCAAGGCAAGTGCTCTACCTCGTGAGCCACAGCACCACTTCTGGTTTTCTGGTGTTTCTTTGGGGTAAGAGGCTCACAGACTTTTCTTCCTGGGCTGGCTCTGGAGCTGGCTTTGAACAGCTATCCTCAGATCTCAGCCTCCTGAGTAGCTAGGATCACAGGTGTGAGCCACCAGCACCCGGCTCAATTGTCTTTCTTTTGTGCACATTACTACATTGTTCCGTGGTCTGACTTCAAGACAGCCCGTCTCATCTACTAAGTGTCCCTTTCAGATGTATTCTTTCTTTGGCAAGCAAGGTTGGCACATGTGCCTACTACTACACACACACTACCATTTTCACTATACAGTTTGTGATACAGAAATACCTTCATATGCTGGGGTTCAGATTAAAGTTGAGAACCAGAAACTTATAAAAACTCAATTCATGTTTTTCAAATACTTTATATGGTAAAAATACAGCAAAAATAGGTATTTTGTTCAAAGACGAAAATATATACTGGTATGGTTACAGTTCTAAAGATGTTGTGTAGTGTGGGTTGACTTCAACTGTAGCTTCTGCACCCTCAGTCATTTATCAAAGCTAAAATCATGCTGTGGAAAGAAATCAACGGTACAGATGTTAGAAACACCCCCAGGGGAAAGGGAAGCGTAGAAACAGTGGGCAAAGGGCGAACCAATTCAGCAGTGGTACTCACTGGACACTGTGTTGGAAATGAACTGTACAACATGGGGAGGGGGAGATGCCAGGAGGAGAAAAACTGGGAGAAAATGAGGGAAGTGGGGACCCTGTTCACAAGAAATGTACTAATTACTTATGTAACTGTAAGCCTTCAACCTCTACAATAAAATTTGTCCCTCAGAGTCTGGTGTGTCAGACTTGCATCCTTGAGCCACACGAATATTCCTTTGAGTAGAAGATGATCAGACCTGTACTCACTAGACACTAAGCTGACTATGCTGAAAATTAACTTTGGAGCAGGGACAGGAGGGAAAAACTGGGGGAAAATGAGGGAAGAGGTGACGCTGTCCAAAAAGAAAGTCTCAGGGCCTTTGCTGCTGGGGCTGGCTTTGCAGTGTGATGCTTCGATCTCAGCCTCCTGAGTGGCAAGGATGACAGGCAAGAGCCACTGTGCCCGGCTCAGGCACCTCCACTTTCATGTTCTTTGTAACACTTCAGAGCTGAAACTGGCAAGCTGCAGGCTTTCTGTATGAAGGGTTCTTCACAGCTAGCTCCTTTGTGTCACCTAAAGTACCTTCCAGTATCCTGACATCAGCCTTCACCCAGTAAATACACACTAGTGGATAGACGACATAGCATCTGGGAAGTTACCTGGGAACTTTATACTCACCTATAAAGATACATGAAGAAACAGAGCAAGTGGAAACCAAGCTTGATCATTGCCTCTTTCATATGTGACTTTAGCTGCCCTCGGTTGTGTATCTCTGTTGGGTCAAACACTCCCATGTTACCACTTGGCACCATAATGAACCTGATGAAGGACACACATTTTAGATGGGGAATTCAGTCAGCACAGACACTGAAAAACAGGTGACTAACAGTGATCAACCTTAAAGGTGAGCTAGACATAAAGCATGCAACTGCCAGCCAAAGATGGAGTGATATTACAATGTTTTAGGCTACTACTTAGTTTTCTTCTTGTTGATTTTTGTTTCAACTTGCTGCTAACGGAAGAAAATATAGTAACATTCTGATGAGGATTTTTTTTTTTGTCGGTCATGGGGTTTGAACTCTGGACCTTGGCTCTACCACTTGAGCTACAGTGCCACTTCGGTTTTCTGAGTGGTTCACTGGAGATAAGAGTCTCACAGACCTTTCCTGCCCGGACTGGCTTTGAACGGTGATCCTCAGATCTGAGCCTCCTGAGTATCTAAGATTACAGGCCTGAGCCACCGGCACCCAGCTTAGATGAGGATTTTTAAATGCACTGAGACCTTTTGACCCATCTTCTGTTATTCCTACAGTTATTTCTCAGCAGCTCCAAAATCCAATCAATTTCATCAAGCTTTCAGAAACCTCCTTATGGAAATTGGGTTATTTCAGGAGAAAAAGTGCTTGCTATCTATGTAACGTGTCCTCAGTAGTGTTTATGACCCTTCCTGTTCCCACAGCTCATGGTACCACTGTGGCTTGTGGCTTCCTTGCCCACTCACACGTCTATGAGATGAAGACCTCTCAAGTTTCATCAATCTAAAATTTTCCCTCAAATACTAGAATGCCCTTATTTTGGTAGAGAGGATGTTGTCACTTAAATGCTCATGTAATATCTTCAGTCTCAGCCTTACCATTCTCTCACTTCTAGTTTACAGAATGTTACTATTGCTGGGTGCCAGTGGCTCAGCCTGTAATCCTAGCTACTCAGGAGGCTGAGATCTGAGGATCATGGTTCAAAGCTAGCCCAGGCAGGAAAGTCTGTGAGACGCTGATCTCCAATAAACCACTAGAAAACCAGAAGTGGTGCTGTGGCTCAAGTGGTAGAGCACTTGCCTTGAGCTGAAGAGCTGAGGGACAGCACCAGAGTTCAAGCCACACGACCAACAGAACAAACCAAAAAGAATGTTACTATTAAACCATTGGCTCATGCTTGTAATCCTAATCTGAAGATCTATGTTTGAAGCCTGTGCAGGCAGTAAAATGCATGAGACTCTTTTTTCCAATTAACCACCAGAACGATGGAAGGGGAGTTGTGGCTCAAAGTGGTAGAGCACTAGTCTTGCGCAAGAGAGCCCAGGGACCTTGCCCAGGCCCTGCATTAAAGCTCCACAACGACACACCCCCTACAAAAAGAAGGAAAGACATGTTACTATTAGCCAGGTGCTGGCTCTAGAATGCAATCCTAGCTACTCAGGAGGCTGAGATCTGAGGATCAAAGCCAGCCCAGGCAGGAAAGTCCAAAAGACTCTTGTCTCCAATTAACCACCAGAAAACTAGAAGTGGTACTGTGGCTCAAAGTGGTAGAATTCAGCAAAATCAAAAAGGACCTACATTAAAAATAATTCTTAAAAATGTTATTATTTTCTTTGTGGTCCTTAAAAACTTACTGGATTTTTCTCTCATCTTTCATAGCCAGTCTATTAAAGTATCTTTTTTTTATTTTTCATTTTATCTATTTATTTATTTTTTGGGTCCGGTCATGGGGCCTGAACTCTGGGCCTGGGCGCTGTCCCTCAGCTCTTCAGCTCAAGGCTAGCACTCTACCACTTGAGCCACAGCGCCACTTCCAGCCTTTTCTGTATATGTGGCGCTAAGGAATCGAACCCAGGGCGTCAGGCATGCAAGGCAAACACTCTACCACTGAGCCACCTTCCCAGCCTCAAATGGGAGTTTGTTTTTTTTTTGGGGGGGGGGGTCCGGTCGTGGGGCCCAAACTCTGGGCCTGGGCGCTGTCCCTCAGCTCTTCAGCTCAAGGCGAGCGCTCTACCACTTGAGCCACAGCGCCACTTCCGGCTTTTTTTTCTGCTTATGTGGTGCTGAGGATTTGAACCCAGGGCCTCATGCATGCAAGGCAAGCACTCTACCACTGAGCCACCTTCCCAGCCCGCACCCGTGTTTTTAACCTTTTAAAAATAGGAGGTAAACCTGTGACCAGCAGAACTGACAGGCAACCTGTTACTGCAATTGTGAGGATAGTAAGCACACATGATCTTTGTTTTTATTATTAACAGGAAAAGAAATTTTTATAATTGACTTCATAGAGCCTTTTACAATACTCTATATGTATTCTACACAAAGAATTCAAGCCAAAACTCTTCTAGCACATTTATAGTGTGGTCTGAGAAATACCAAGACCCATGGTCTCAGATTCCAGTATCCATTCTCATTCTCAAATGTACATTTTACTTAAAAGAAATCATAGGGTTACAGATATATGCTATAAAAAAAAAATCTGCATGGGACCAGGCCTAGTGCGTGACAAGTATCTGTAATTCCACCACTCAGGAGGCCAGGGCAGGAAGAGTATGAGCATGGGTTACACAGCAAGACTCTGCCGCAAAACACCACCACCAGCATCTGGTGAGGAACTGGCCTTCAAAACACCACCACCAGCAGGGCACCAGTGGCTCACGCCTGTAACCCTTGCTACTCAGGAGGCTGAGTAGGGCAAGAAGCATATGCTCATATTTAGAGTACATAAATCTTGGAAAATCCCTTAATTAAAATCCACTCCTTTCCTCATCTCTAATACATCCTGTGTGTGTCCTTTTGTGTGTTCTAATGCCCTCCAATGCTTTAGTCCTTTTTATTTTAACTGTACTTTACAATATCATGTTTAAGAATCAGCCAGGGAAAGCCAGGCATCAGTGGCTCATGCCTGTAATCCTAGCTACTCAGGAGCTTGAGATCTGAGGATTGCAGTTCACAGCCAGCCTGGGCAGGAAAGTCTGTGTGATGTAGAAAACTGCAAGTGCCCAGGCCCAGAGTTCAAGCCCCACGACGCCCCCCGTCCTGCCACAAAAAAAAAAGAATCAGCTAATGAAAAATGGCTTTTCCCAAAAATCTAGATAGAAAACCAAACCACTAACACACAAATAAATCCAGCATGTAGTAATGTAGTACAGTACATGCCTATAATCCCAGCACTCAGGGGAGGATAAAACAGGAAGACTGGAACAGTGAGACTGACTCAGTAAGCAAAAGACAAAACAACAAACACTAAAACTGATCATGCCAGTAAACACCTAAATCCCAGCTACTTGGGGGGTAAAGACTGGAAAATTACAGTTTAAGGCAAGCTTAGCAAAGGGTGAGTGGAATCCCCATCTTGACTAACAGGGCAGGCACTGTGATGATGTATATGCTCCTACTGACAGGTGGGAGGATCACAATCCATGCCAAAACTACAAACCCCGTGAGAAAGAACCCATGGGGGAGGGCTCGAGGGGCAGAACACTCAACTGCTAAGTAAAAGACCCTAATGCCAACTGTCAAGTGCTGCAAAAATTATTCAATTTTTATTTTGTACTGGTCCTGGGATTTGAACTGAAGGCCTGAGCACTGCCCCTGAAAATTCTGGCTTTGTGCTGGAAATAAAGGTCTTATGGACAGGCTGGGAAGGTGGCTCAGTGGTAGAGCACTTGCCTTACATGCCTGAGGACCTGGGTTCAATTCCTCAGCACCACATAAGCAAAAAGAAAAAAGCCAGAAGTGGTGCTGTGGCTCAAATGGTAGAGCGCTAGCCTTGAGTTGAAGAGCTGAGGGACAGCGCCCAGGCCCAGAGTTCAGGCCCCATGACCGGACCAAAAAAAAAAAGTCTTATGGACTTTCCTGCCTAGGCTGGCTTCAAACCATGGTCATCAGATCTCAGCCTTCTAAACATTAAGTACCCAATTAATTAAATTAATTAATTAACTGAATTAAAATAAACTCTAGATTTGTAAGCTTAGTTGTTATCGGTGGTGGTCATGGGGCTTGAACTCTGGGCCTGGGCGCTGTCCCTCAGCTCTTCAGCTCAAGGTGAGTGCTCTACCACTTGAGCCACAGCGCCACTTCCATTTTTCTGGTGGTTAAGTGGAGATAAGAGTCAAGGAGTTTCCTGCCCTTTGAACTGTGATCCTTAGATCTCTGCCTCCTGAGCAGCTAGGATTACAGGCGTGAACCACCAGTGTCTGGCTTCTACTAAACTATTTTTGAACAAACTTCCAAATTGATTAAGTAAAAATACTTCGTTAATTTGCCTTAGTTGTACAAAAAGCAGTGGAGTTACCTAATAAGTTATAGGCATAAAAACTTAATTTGAGGGGCTGGGAATGTAGCTCAGTGGTACAGTGCTTGCCTTGCATGCATGAAGCCCTGGGTTCAGTTCTTCAGTACCACATATACAGAAAAGGCTGGAAGTAGTGCTGTGTCTCAAGGGGTAGAGTGAGCAAGAGAAGTCCAGGAACAGTGCCTAGGCCCTGAGTTTAAGCCCCAGAACTAGCAAAAGAAAAAACAATCATTAAAATTAATAATAATAAATTTAAATAACTAAAATTAATAATGAAAAAAGGTATTATATTCTTAGGCTTTTGACTGTTCTTTGTGTGTGTGTGTGTTTTTTTGGTGTGGTTTTTTTTTTTTTT